AGAGACTCGAGGAAGAAAAGAACTTAGACAAATGGAGTGGCTGAAAGGCTGCGGTGAGGGACAGTGGTGAAAAATGACGCCAGGATGGAGGCAGAGACAGATCACGCAGCCAGGCTGGAAGATCTGTGATTTCATCCTAAGTTACTACAGAGGAAGCCATTGAAATGTTAAACAGAGACATCATGGCTTTAAAAAGATGAGTCTGGCAGCGCCTCGGTGGCTCAGTTGACTAAACGTCCGACTTTGGCTCAGGTTATGATCTCACAGTTCGTGGGTTCGAGTCCCATGTCCGGCTCTGTGCTGACAGCTCGGAGCTGGAGCCTGCTTTAGGATTCTGTCTCTCTCTCTCTCTCTCTCTCTCTCTCTCTCTCTCTCTCTCTCTCTCTCTCTCTCTCTCTCTCTCTCTCTCTCTCTCTCTCTGCCCCTCCCTTGCTCGCTTGCTTGCTTGCTCCCTCTCTCTGTCTCTCTCTCTCTCTCAAAAATAAAACATTAAAAAAAAGATGAGTCTGCTGCCATGTGGAGAAGAAATGGGAGGATGAGGGTGAGGCAGTCTGATGAGGGGATAATTCAGCCCAAGTGACTGGTAACAGTGGCCTGCACAGACGAGAATTAAATGGATGCAAGAGGGAAAACAACCTGCAAAGGTGGTAGAAATGGGTAGAGGGCAGTGAAGAGAGGATGTCTGGGTGGCCGGCCAGTGGTATGTGACCAAGGAGAGAGCGCCAGTTCTAAAGGGGTAGGGCGGCGAAGAGGCCAAGGCTTCCATGTTGGGTGCTTTAAAGATCAGTGGGTGTTCCCAAGGTGGCTAGGATGGACGAGAGAAAGAGGAGGGGAGAAAGATGGGCATTCCTTGAGCTTGATGAGGTTCAAGAACAGAAAACACTATCTATTGAAATACAGCACTGATAGCTGTAGACTTATAATAGTATGTTGACTACTGAAGTGAGCCTTAGGTAGGAAATGCATATACAGTGGTTAGTAGTAGTAAGCCGTAGAATCAGAGTACTTCAGAGACTGGCTTCGTCACTAACTCTGCCTCTGTGAGCCTTGGTTTCCTCAGCTTTAAAGTGGTATTACTAATAATAGTCTGAACCTTTGTACAGATACTGTAAGGAAAAAAATGTGATCATCCATGCAATTGTTACAGTGCCTGACAGAGAGTTACTTCTCCATAAAATAAGCAAATCAAAATAATTACTGGCTTTTAAGCAATCTCTTTGTTCTAAAGTGCTTTGATTCTCTTGTGTAAGAAGTTACCATCCAAAGAAGACTTAAATAATTCCTCATCTATTCCATTTAAGCTACAATAACCTTATTTGCTGGTGAAATAGCTCAGCAGTAGAAAATCAGCATTTACTTTCTGATCCAGTATCTGGAAGAAATTAGGTAGATGGGACACTAACAACCCTTTCCTAAATAGGACTATAGACCTGTCACCTAGTCTGATAGAAGTATGTAGAATTGGTGAAAGAAAGTAGACAGGTGAAAGTGGTTATAATGGACTAAGATTATGTTGAGCCTAGGGGTGCCTGGGTGGCTTAATCAGTTAAGTGTCCGACTTCAGCTTAGGTCATGATCTCACAGTTGTGGGTTCAAGCCCCGTGTCGGGCTCTGCACTGGACCGTTCAGAGCCTGGAACAGCCTTGCTTGGGGTTCTGTGTCTCTCTCTTCTCTGTGCCTCTCCCTGGCTCACACTCTGTCTCTCTCTTTCTCTCTCTCTCTCTCTCTGAAAAATAAATTTAAAACATTAAAAAATTTTTATTTAAAGAGTATTTTGAGCCTAAGTGTGTAGAAGACCATTTTTGTTCTAACTGAAGTAAATATAGTAACTTGAAGATGTTAATGCATGTTACTCACTGAACTTTGCTTCTTAAATATGTACCCATAGGATTCTGAAGTCAGCATTCTTCAGATGTTTAAAATGGATAAAGGATTTGAGATCTGTCACTTTATTTACTGCAGAAATAGGATCAAGATAAGCACGCTTTCGTTCAGTGCCCCTTACATGAAGCACTAAACCTTTTTCTGATCTTAAGGTGAATAAAAGTTTTGAGTCTAGTCTTAGAGCGTATAATAACTATAATAAACTGATATTTATTGCCTTTTTGGTGTACTTCACAACTAACTGCTTTATGCATATTCTCATTTAATCTCCTCAGCTCAAAGAAGCATACTATACCCATCTTATGGCTGAGGAACCAAGGTTCAAAGAGATTTGTAACTTTCCTGACGTTACCTAGCTAATAAGACCACTAAATAGATGGGGGTGTCTGTTTCATGGTTTGGATTGTTGAAGCCCACCAGGTGAAGACCCCCTCCCCCCTGAAACCAAGTTTCAAACAAGGGGCAAATAAAATTAGGTTTATTTAACTTGGGGCAAGGAAAAAGAATGCATACCTATGGGACTATGAGGAGGATAAAGTAGAGGATTCGTGTAGATTTGGGCTTGTACTGGTGATGCTAATACGGATTTAGCGAAGCAAGGACCAGTTACCTTTGAGGTGTTGTCAGGAAGCAGGATCAGGTTGGTGTTTTGGTAATTTTTATGTAGGAAGTGAAAAGATGGAATGAAGACTACATTGTCATCCATCAAAACAGTCGTTCCTTCTTAGTTGGAATAGTGGGACATTGAGTTAATTTGTGGTGCCTAGGGCCCTCTTCTCTGTCTTTTTTGTTGTTGTTAGAGGGTGAAAGCGAGTGGGGGAGAGTGGGAGAAAATAGAATCTCAAGCAGGCTCCACGTTTCATGCAGGGCCCAACACGGAACTCGCTCCCATGACCTGGGATCATGACCTTGAACCGAAATCAAGAATCAGATGCCCAACCAACTGAGCCACCCAGATGCCCCTCTCTTCTCTATCTTGATGCGATGATTGTGGATTTTTCCCATCTCCTCCCTCCATGGTCAGAGTGGCTGTGTCTGACAGTTGTTTGTGTTCTGCAAAAGTTGTTTGTGCTAAGTCACCCTCAGACTCTACCACCTGGCCCTTCACCCTCTAGGCTCCCTCTCTCTCCCCGACCTCCTCCCTCTTTCCCTCTCACCCCTCTTCCCTCTCCCTTTGCCTCTCCTGCCTCTAGTGATATCATAGTAAGTGCTGATATTTTCCATCTAGAGAATAATCCCACCATCATGAGTTCCTATGCTCTAACATTGGGGAATGTTAGTAAAAGGAAGATTTTCACATTAAGAGAGACTTCATCTTGAGTCTCATTTCAACACACTTAATTTGATCTTAGGCAAATTAGTTCATCTTTTTGGTCCAGGTTTCCTCATCTCTAAAAACTGGGAAATGATAATTGCCTTGCAGAGTGTTTTGAAAATTAGAGATAATTTTATTTTTTTTATTTTTTATTTTTTTATTCTCAAGTTAGTTGACATACAGTATAGTCTGGGCTTCAGGAGTAGAACTCAGTGATTCATGGAAAATTAGAGATAATTTTCATACAGTGCTTGGCACACCAGAGTCTAATCTCTGGCCACAAAGAGTCCAATATGGCCACTATTAAAAAGGCACAAACATTTATCAAATGTTAATTTCACTTAGGCTTTGTAAAGTCTAACAGCAACAAAAATACTTTCTGTTATATGAATTATTTGACTGTAGAAAGTCATAGAAGATGGGAAGAGCCAGGCTTTGTGAATGTGATGATCGGCTATTGAATATTACATGATGAAATTGGCTGTAATTACAGTTATTAAAATGGAAAATAAAATACATAACATTATGCTACTCATTTAACTAATTAAAAACACAAGGTAGTGTTAAAGCTCCCAACATTTCATTACCTGATAAAACTTCATTAGATATAGACAAGGATACCATAGTTATAGACTGGGCAGAAAAAAAAAAGAAAATGGTGGCCGATGAAGATTGTAAAGAAAAACGGAAGACCTAGAAAGCCTATTCTCATTGTGTGGGTAGAAAAAGTTCTTGTAAAACATTTCCACTGAAGGTTTACTTCTTACACAAGGCAAAGGTTAGGATTAACTTATAGGAGGAATACAGGTGCCTGGGTGGCTCAGTCATTTAAGTGTCCAACTCTCAATTTCAGCTCAGGTCATGATCTCACGTTTTGTGAGATCGAGCCTGCGTCAGGCTCTGGGCTGATAGCATGGAGCCTGCTTGGGATTCTCTCTCTCACTTTCTGTCTCTACCCCTCCCCTGCCCATGCTATCTCTCCCTTTCTCAAATAAATAAACCTTTTTAAATAATTGTAGGAGAAAGAGGGGCACCTGGGTGGCTCGGTTGGGCATCTGACTTCGGCTCAGGTCATGATCTCGCAGTTCACAAGTTCAAGCCCCGCGTTAGGCTCTGTGCTGCCAGCTCAGAGCCCAGAGCCTGCTTCAGATTCTGTGTCTTCCTCTCTCTCTGCCCCTCCCCTGCTCATGTTCTCTCTCTCTCTCTCTCAGAAATAAATAAACATTTAAAAAAATTTTTAAATAATTATAGGAGGAAGAGATACTACAATATACCTCTGAATTGTGGGATGGTTTTTGTTTTCATCTTTGTATTTTTGTGTGTTTTCCAGGTTTTCTGCAGAAATCATATTTATGATTGGAAAAAATGTTTTGCCAAAACCAGAAACCAGGAAAAAAGACATTTAATCTTCTACAAATCTCGTTTTTCTTGAAGTTGCTAGTTTTTTCAGCCGTGGTTGGCAAAATCTTGACACCGTGTGTGTGTATATGTGCGTGCATGCTTGTGCACACGTGTCTCATAAAACATCTTTAGGCATGTGCTAGACATTAAATGGTCTTTGAGATTCTAGTTCAGAGTTACCTCAAATATGTGAATCGTGGAAATTGGAATGGTCTATTATAAACAGTGTTGCTGAGATAGCCTACTCTTCTTTATTGTGTCTCCAGTTACTTTATGATTTAATAACTCTATTTTAGGAGAAATACAATTGGAAAACATCCTGCTAATGAAATAAAGTTGTTACAAATGACTCACTTTTCACGTGGTCCCTTCTTCTCCTCTCTCCCCATCCTTGCATTAGAAATCCGGCCTCCATTTTCGACACACAGATAATACAGTCCAGTGGTTACGAGCAATGGAGTCTATTGGTCTACCCAAGGTAAGTCCGAAGTGGGAAGCCAAAAGGGGTCATTGCAAACTCCTCATTATGAAAAAGGACTTGGTATACTGGGGTATGTTAATGGAGCAGATGGCCTTATTGCCTCAGGCATGACAAATGTGAGGACTAAACAGGAATATGGAAAGGCCTATACAAAGTAATCTATGACAAGAACTCAGAATTAAGTGTGTATACAAATTGAGAGCAGCTAGGTGTAACTGTGTATTAATGAAACAAGGTCAGAACAAGCTTTACAGGTAGATAGTTGATTTAAAATAGTCACCTCCCTTTTTTGTGTTGCCATGTGTACTTTATATAATGTATTATCTTAGTCTAGATTGTATCTCTCTAAATTATCGCGATAAAGGTATTTTTAGAAAGTATTGTTATAAATCATATTATCACTTTAAATGTTAAAAGCTACTGGGTTACAGCCCTGACTCTTGAAATAGCTGTCCCAAATAAAATTCTGCAAATATTCAGAGCTTCTTAGATTGAAAGAGCAGGTGCCCTTAAGCCTGAGAGACAAATAGACAAGTAGAGGAAATGAGGAAATAATTACATTTGTTAGAAATTGTCGAGTTATTTCTTGAACTTGTTATTTTGAAATAATTATAGAACCACAGGAAGTTGCAAAAATAGTACATCTGTGTATATCCTTCGTTCAGCTTCCCCCATTGGTGACATCTAGTAACAATAGTAAGATAATAAATTCACATTGGTTAACTAGGCTACAGACTTTACTTCTTTTTCACCATTTTTAGATGCATTCAGGTGTGAGTGTGTTTCCATGCTGTTTTCTTCCATGAATGTATTTGTGTGACTACCACAATTAAGATACAGATACCATGGAGGAGTGGGACTTGTCATTTCATTTCCCTAGCTCTGTCCCCTGACAACCACTCATCTATTCTCCATCTCTATAGTTTGGTCATTTTAAGAATGTTAAAAATGGAGTCATAAGTAGGTAGTCTTTGGAGATCAACTTTTTCAGTTGATCAACTTTTTCAGTAAGCACAATGCCCTCCAGATCCATCAGGTTTTTGTATGTGTCAATAGTACAACCCTTTCTGTTGATTATTCTGTATAGCTGTTTTAAAGAAATGGTGTAGGAGTGGTCCCGCTTGAAGGCAAGGAGACATGTTACTGATGTAAGACCTGTGTTGTTTTTGTTATTATTATTTGTCAAGGTTTAAATTCAAAACACCCACCACAACAAAAACAAGAGATTCCTTAATGCCTGTTTTCAATATATCTGTGCTCATAACTGTTTTAGCTCAGCATATTTTATCTCAGAATAGTCAATATTGATGTATTCTTTGATTTTTAATCAAATTACTTTCCCTTCTCCTAAACTGCTGTTCCGTTCTGGGCACCAGTTAGAATTCAGAACTCGTTCTAGATTGTCATTTAGCATGTACTAACTGGGTAGGTAAACAGATTAATAAAGAAATTCAAATCGGATTTTTGGTATGAGGCACCGTTATTGAAGTTAGGATAATTTTGTTAGGTTTCATAGATTAGATTTAAACCTTTTCCAATTGTGTGTGTTAGACCAGGTTCTCCTTAATTTTAAGCCAAATAAGAGTTCCATGTAGCAGATTCTGTTTTCACACTGATTTTTATGAAGTGATTGCATACTCTCATTGTAAGTATGAGAGTCCAATAGTGTATTGGCTGATGTATTTGACCCCTATTAATGCCTTCACTTATCAATACTGAGTGCCTCCTCTCTGCTCAGCACCATGCTACGTGCTGGGGATACAGTAATGAATAAAATGTTCTGGTGAGCTAAATAAACTGATCCCATCTTACTGTCAAAAGAAGACCAATTCATAAAGGTTTTCTAAAAGAGCTGAAACAGTATTTATATAAATATGTATTTCTATGTAGAAGATATAAAGAAATGTAAAAGGTTGTTTAAAGGAAAGGGAATGGGGAGTTGTGATGATCTTTTTCCGTAGTGGAACTTTCAACCTGGTCACGTTCTTCGGAATGGGGAATTCTCTTCTGGCTAACGCTTGAAAAGCAAATGTGTTAAAGGAAAGTTGAAAAGACCTTTGAAATTTCCTAGGCTACAGCCATTGCTTGAAGCCCTGAGTGACTATACATTTGTGGCCAAGGAAACTTTGCTTCTTTAATTTCTCAGCTTTTTTCAGTGTCTCATAGAAAACTGCACTTGAATGTCTAGTGCTACCATATGATACATGATTTAATTTTAGTTTTTATGTCACCTTTTCTAAAATATTTACTGAAAGCCAGCAGTGCTAGTATGCTTATCTTAATCTTAGAAGCCTCCAGCCTAATTCTCCATTTTTTGGTGCTTAGGAACAGAGAAGTTTGATGCCCTATTGTGAAATCTGTTTCTTATCAAGCTTTTCATTTCAAGCTTAAAAGTAGTGTAAATGTGTATTAAAAGCCTCAGTGTTGAAACTTAACGATTCAGTACTTCCATATTTAGGTGTGTATCCAAAAGAAGTAATCAGGTGTTCAGCAAATTCAGGGATGTTCATTGCAGTGACTTTTAATAGGGACAAATTGGGAGCCAAAAAAAGTTCAGCCATGGAGAACTGGCTAAATTATTGTTCAGAAAGATGAAAGGTTCATACACATCCATTAAAAGGAATGTTCTTACAAAATGGATGGAAAATGGTCAGGCTCTACTAAGTGTGTCAAAATAGGCTAATAGTATTACAGTTTTGTTTTCACATGCATACATAAACATAAAAAATCAGAGAAACATACTAAAAGTCCCATACCGAAGAATATATACCAAAATGCTAATAGTAGTAACAATCTGGAAAGTGGGATTATAGCTAATGTTTCTTTCACACTTGATAATACTCTCCAGATTCTATCCGGTAAAATATATTCCTTCAAGAAGAAAAAAATATCAGTGCGTATTGTGTGTGTGCATATTTGTTTACACAACTGCGTAGCTAGGTTTTTAGTGTTATAATAAAATGCTGTAAGATGGATACCCTTCTTAGGCTAGGGTACCTCTGGTCCCTCACCAGAATGACGCTGCTACAGAAAGCAGAGTCTGAATCAGCCCATTCCTCGTGGGCTGAAGCTGCCCACCTAGCCCTGTGGGCGCAGCCTTCTTGGAGTGGCCACCTGAGAACCCCTCACTCTCCTGAGCCCACTAGGGGGCGTACTGCCAGACGGGAGACCAGGTGGAGCGCTGGGTTTGCCTGTAGAGTGAGAGGAACCAACATTTGAGAGGTTACTCTAAATTTAAGTAAATGCAGTACAGAGAGGACAATCAAAGCATCATTTGAGAGATTTAAAATAACTATGAAAAGCAAAACATAATGAACACATTGTTTCTTTTATTTTCCAGATATTTTATCCAGAAACAACAGATGTTTATGACCGGAAAAACATACCAAGAATGATATATTGCATTCATGCATTGAGGTGAGGAAAAAATACAGCTAGAAGTCTAGGAAGTAGATTTAAATGGAACTGGGATTTCTATTTTAGAAGAGGGATCTTATTTAAGTAAAATAATCTGAAGAATTTTTTAATTGGATTGAGTTGTGAATTTGGCACAAAAATTTTTATTTTATTTTTTTAAGTTTACTTATTTATTTTGAGACAGAGAGACAACGCCATTGGGGGAAGGTCAGAGATAGAGGAGACAGAATCCCAAGCAGGCTCCCCACTGCCAGCACAGAGCCTAGTGTGGGGCTCAAACTCACCAACTGAGATTATGACCTGAGCTGAAACCAAGAGTTAGACACTTAACCCACTGAGCCACCCAGGTGCCCCAGCACAAAATATTTTAATTTTTTTTTTCAACGTTTTTATTTATTTATGGGACAGACAGAGACAGAGCATGAACGGGGGAGGGGCAGAGAGAGAGGGAGACACAGAATCGGAAACAGGCTCCAGGCTCCGAGCCATCAGCCCAGAGCCTGACGCGGGGCTCGAACTCACGGACCGTGAGATCGTGACCTGGCTGAAGTCGGACGCTTAACCGACTGCGCCACCCAGGCGCCCCCCAGCACAAAATATTTTAAATTGGCACAAAAATACAGTCCTTGAACTTGAAAAATACTTTTTCTAATTTTAAAAATCTAATCCAAAATAGAAAACCAGAAAATGAATTAAAGACCTATAAGTATACTGAGAAAATTTAAGTTGAAACTTATAGGGAATCTCATAATATGTTACCACATTCTTGAGTTATGGTCTACTTTACAAATATAGCCAAAATACATCAAATGAGCAGCTTTAATGGTCATTACAATTTTGGTACTCTTAAATTATCATTTAGCTTCAATTCTTACCATAGGCTGGTAAAGTCCAATATAAAGATAGTTTCTTTTGACCTTTGCTCAATAGAACTTGCACCATAAGGATAAAGAAGCAGCATAGGAGTTGATACAAATGCATCAAATCAAGATACATTCATTATTTTAAAGCAATTGTTTTACCTTATTTTTGGAATTGCTTAAATTCTGCTAGCTCACGGATCATTTTTTATCTTATTGGCCTGGAAGAAATGTTATCTTTAGATGGTAACAAAGACGATTCTAAAAACCCACTTTGTGGCTGTTGTCTTGCATACACACAGGTAATGGCTGGAAGACTTCATGTCTAATTAAATTTTAAATTTCTTTTAGAACATCTGCCTTGTGTTTCTATCACTACAAGTCATTTTCCTGGCAGAGTCTTCTGCATAGAGGTTTATATTAACTTCTTCCTGGCTCTTTTCCTCTCCAAAGGAAAAGGTTTCTACAATAAGTCATTGCACTCCTGGCCTACTAGAAAAGAATTTTGATTATGTCATATAATTTGACTTTTCCCCCCTGATCAGTACTTGCAAGATTTCTTTGGAAGATGACAGCTGCCACAAATATAGACCAAATGTTAGGTGCCTTTTCTGTAATTTCTTTTTATTCTTGTAATTTAGAATCAGGGGAGGAAAAAACAATTCTCTGCCTGCCTCCTCTTGTGTGGCTAGTATATCATTATGCCAGCCGTGTTTCTAAAAGCTTTTTGTGCACAAGTGCTTATTGTGAGGAATAATTTCAGATGTGTTGCCCAACATTCCTTGTCAAATATTTTTCATAGTTTAGAATGATTTTGTGAGCTATGAAAGCTAGCTACCATTAGTTAATGTCATTATCATATCCACGCATCATAGTGCTAATCTCCAAATCTGTGGCATGCTCTTGGAGTATCTTGGACAAATTTAAATTGATTTCTTGAGGTGGACCCCTGGGGTGTTAATGTTAAGCTGCTTATGAAGAAATGGTGTGCTAAGTTCCTTCCTAGTGATGTCACTGTTCTTCCACAGAAATTATGTAGAACTACCCTGAGATTTACGAATGTGTTTGTGATAGTTTTAACAGTGGCTTCAACAGCTTGGTAAATAAAGAAAAGGCACCTTCTTATTCTTGCCATTTGTATGCAGATGTTGGTATAGCTTCTAGGATTATTTTCTCATTCAGGCAGTTACTTATCATGGAAGTTTCCATTACTGTTAACTCATTCTCAGCAGATTCCTAATAAGCCTGTCAATCACCAGATCTGACCTTAAATAGGATCTTTAATGTTTGCCCAATAAATAGCATTCCCTGGGAGAATGCTATTCACTTTTCTCTGTCGTAAACTTACTGTACGGCTACTTCTTGGCATATATCCAAAGTTGTTTTCTTTCCTTTTTTTTTTCTTGTTTTTTTATTTTTTAGTCTACAGTTTTTTCAAATGCTCAACTAACTGAGCCACCCAGGCACCCCTAGTCTACTGTTTTTTTTTTTTTATCAAAACATTTTTTCTCATTGGTTTAGGGTACAGTCACTCAAATGAGGCCAATATTCTGCTCAGTTGGGCAAGACACGTTTGGAAACCAGGTAGCAGAGCTCTTGAATAAGTACAATGGGTTTGCTCTCACTAGATAATTAGAAGTGATGCTGGAAATGAACAAATACATATCCAGCCATTATATCCTGGCTGGGGATACAGCAACATTCCTAGTGTACTGAATCGTCGTTACTGGACAGGAAATTAGGCAGGTCAGAGGTTCTGAGTATATAGATCAGGAGCCAGGTGGAAAGATCCCCTGGGTACCCAGGCACTACCATCCCGCTGCCTCAGCCCATTGGGCCTGGTGTGATCTGCAAAGTTCTCTCTCAGCCCTGCCGACATGTCTTTTGTTTCCTGTCTTCTTGATGTGGGCTTAAACTGCATTAAGATCCTCTGGGGTTTTGCCTTTGCTTCCTGTTTGTGTCTGCTTTCCTCTTTTCCTGCCTGGTCCTCACCTTTTTACTCGTATTTCTGACCAGGGTCTTGCTTGCTGCAGCTCATTGCTCCCTTTGTCTGCTTGGTGTTATCAAGCTGACGGGACAGTGAATGACAGCACAGCAGCCCCAGAGGAAATCCTCACCTCCGTGATAGGTGACCTCATTCTTTTCTCAAAGAAATGTTTGTTATCTTTTGTCTTATTTAAAATAGAAAATTTAAATTCTCATCTTGGGAACAGTCAGAAAACTCAGAAAAAAATATCAAAGGAAAACTAGCTTTAAGTACCCATTATCAGGGCGTCAGGGTGAATCGGTTGAGTATCTGACTCTTGATTTCGGCTCAGGTCATGATCTCACGGTTCGTGGGTGTGAGCCCCGTATGGGGCTCTTTACGGACAGGGTGGAGCCTGCTTGGGATTCTCTTCCCTCCCCCCTCTCTCTCTGCCCCTCCCCCACTCACTCTGTCTCTCAAAATAAATACATAAGCTTAAAGGAAAAAAAACAGAGTACCCGTTATGACACCACCAAGTAAAAAACACTGTTTGTGACTCTCTTGGCATAATTGCACTTCCAATGTATACATGGCGTATTTCCCCTTTGTGGCTTCACTAGGAATGTATGAAAGTCTACAATGAAAAGAAACCAGTTTAAGAAGTGAGAGCCTTGGTAACAAGTTACTGCTAATGATTTTTTAACCATCTGGGCTTTTATGCATGGAGAAGAATACTTTTTACGTGTTGTTTATTGCTCAACTTATTAAACAACTGTTAAATGTGTAAACACTGGTTATAAAATTGAATTACTTTAAAAATTTCAGTAGAACTGATTTTTTGGAATATGTCAAGTAACTTGAAGTGCAGATGAAAAACCCAGGTATATTATTACAGACTTACCCCACTTAAACCTATTCTGAAAGATCTACATGGTAAGTTTCCCTAGTGTAATTATTTATACACTAGTTTTGACTCATCCTAGGACTATTATACATTGATCCGTAGCCTGAGTTGACATAATTTTAAGGGCACCAGAAGTAAAAGAACACCTTCAAACGTCCCCAGGTTACAGATATGATTTTGATCAGTCACTTGTCGGGCAGCACATGGTACCAATTGGCTTCTTCCCCCGAGGTGAGTCAGACCCTGCCTACCAGGCATCAGGATAAACCTGACTGGTGAAATCAGTCTGACCTTTTAAATTTTCAGTATCAAGCTGAAATTTTTTTCATTTTCAGGTAGGTTTTTATTTTCAATCTGGTCCCCACCACTATCCCATCCCCCCTTACCCAGAAATGATTTACCACCTAAGTCTCACTTGGCCATGTTACATAACCCATTGTCCTGTCATAATGATGTATTGGCCAGATCTGTTAACATTATTAGAAGCTTATGTATGCCTTTGGAACATTTTCTTGAAATTAGTTGGGCATTCTAGAAGTTTCTCACCCATGAGATGAAGGGTTGACTCTACCTAATGTTCTTTGGGCCATTTGGCTAATTTATCATCTCACATCATGTTTCTGGATCTTCTCTCTGCTTAACGATTGTGTGACTATCACTGTCAGGCCCTCTTTTCACTCACTGTTATTGTCACAAACTGTGTTCTTCCGTCATTTCTTATCGTGGGTCACTTTCTTGGTTTTCTACCACACTCTGGCTTAGAGTTCTTGGTTTCTCTTCTTGCAGTGTAAGTATAATGTAAATAATGTAAAAACAAGTACATATCTCTACCCTGTAGACATATGTATTTTAATAACACTTGTATTTTAATAACACTTCCCACCTTGCTGAAATCAATGCACATAATTATGCATGTCTTACTTTATCAATTTGTATTGCAATTTGCTTTCATACAATTTGTACCATTCTTTTTTGATTGTTGTTTTGAACTCCTGGCCTTTCACAGACTTAACTAGGTTAGTATCTTAATTTTTTTTAAGTTTATTTATTTATTTTGAGAGAGAGAATGCAAGTGGGGGAGGAGCAGAGAGACAAGGAATCCCAAGCAGGCTTCATGCTGTCAGCACAAACCCCAACGCGGTGCTCAAACCCACAAATCATAAGATCATGACCTGAGCCAACATCAGATGCTTAACTGACTGAGCCACCCAGGCGCCCCTATAGGTTCTATTTTGATGGACCACACTGATTTCACCTTGGTCAGTGGAAA